AGGCACGTGGTCAGTACCAACAACTAACTATCACAGGCACGTGGTCAGTACCAACAACTATCTATCACAGGCACGTGGTCAGTACCAACAACTAACAATCAACGGCACGTGGTCAGTACCAACAACTAACTATCACAGGCACGTGGTCAGTACCAACAACTAACAATCAACGGCACGTGGTCATTACCTAGTACTAACTATTATGTTATCCTCCTTAATTATCGGACAAAGTATTTCTACGGCTATTGCTAATAAAATATTGATTTTCAAGGAGTAAATAAAACTTTTCAAAAGAGCTGGCAAAAATATTAATTCGTGTAATAAAAAAAGAAGTCCATTCTTTCCGTTTACATGTACAAGAAAAACACATTAAGTGTTACTGGGAAACTATTAATTTGTTATGAAAAGTACCGAAAAAATACCGACAAGTGCCGAGGTGTCCCATTGAAAATGCAGAGGTGTCTCGAACCGTAAGTGCCGAACTCGCCAAGTGCCGAGATGACCTGTTACCGTTTGCTGAAATGAAGGGCTATAAACATTGTTCAACAAAATTTCTGATGATCAATTGATGAACCATAAAGCATATCGAGGAGGTTATATGTTCTGATGAAGGGCTTAAAATTGTATTCCTTTTGCATAAATTTGTTAAATCATTGTGTCATTAAAATTGGATGACAATTCATTTTAAATTAAATAGATGGTTTAATAAAAACGAAATGTCCAGTACTTATATTGTACTTCAACTATATTGAAAATTGATTAAAAGTTTAGATCAATTTACTGGATAATCTCTGAAATTTTCATATATCAAACTTGTCTCTTGTCTTATGCTAAGATCAGATAAAGGCTATTATGGTGCCCATACATTATAAGTGTGTTTAACACTTGTCGTTTCAGAACTGTACCTGGATAAACAAGTGCCCGTCCTCAGCGCCCCCGTGTCCCCACTGACCTTCTACAGGCAGTATGTGGCTCCCAATAAACCAGTTGTTGTGGAGGGCGCCATCCGGCACTGGTCAGCTCTACAACAATGGGATGAATCTTATTTTAGGTACCTCATGCCACAGAGCTTGAATCGATTGGTCGTCATAAAATAGTACAAGCAAGGCTGTTAGTTGTATCATAAGTCAGAATCAATGGGGCATTTAGACGTACATTGTGGGATCGTTTTATTAGGCAATGATTTGTTTAGTGATGGGGCAATCAGGTTTGGATCATGGCTGCATTGGCCGAAAGGACCCGGTAGACGAGGGTAGATTCTTGGCGTTGTAGTTATTTTCTACTTACAGCGGCACATGGTTGTCAAACCAAGATATTTTACACTTGGCTTCTACATTGAGTCACATTGGATGTCTGTTTGCCGTCACGTCACGACAGTTTTCAAACACCGTCGCTCATCGACCACTTGTGACTGTTGGTGACTTCATTTTGGTCAATGGCTGCCTATGGTTGTCACAGCAGGAACGTTTACGCTAGATTTGTTTTGGTTAGTGTTTGGCCTCATTGGCGAGCACTGTGCTGTCAATTTACGAGTTTTTAAACTTCAAGTAGGAGGTGGAATGAAGATATCATGCCTTTAAAACTGTATAGTTATAGTCTAACTTAGACTAATCTAGCTGTCCTGTCTGTCAATAATGGGCGGTCTCATTTGATAAATTGCGGTCACCTGGGGCGCAATCCATTATCAGGAAGAAGTAAAAGTAACTGAACGTTTAATACCAGTGAAATAAGTTATTGATGTACCGTATTCTTTAATTGGTGGTAAACAAGCTCCATGGATTTGTGATATGTGGTTTGATTTGAAGTTCAATAATTCTTTGATGCAATGCCTGTTTTGACTGGCACAGTAGTAGTTCATCAGTATGTTTTCATTGGAAGTTCTATAGTTCAAAGATGTACCACATGCTTTGATTGGCCGTAAGAGTAATATAATTTATTAATTAATTGACAATGTGGTTTGATTTGCTACAGGAAGAAGATCGGCGATGTGAAGGTATCGGTGACCGTCACGCCTAATGGGTATGCCGACGCTGTAACAGACGGCAAGTTTGTGATGCCGGATGAAAGAAAGATGTCGATGTCTGAATTCCTGGATAAGTTGGAAAGACCGGACGATCACAGGGTGTTCTATATACAGAAACAGAACTCCAACCTTACTGAGGAATTCTCGAGCATCATCAGTGACGTAGACACTCATATAGACTGGGGCACAGAGGCGTTCGGTGAGCTTTCCACCGGTTTGTTGTAATTTATAATTTGACCTGTGGATACATGAAACATTTAATGTCATTGTGGAAAGAAAACATGATTCTTTTGTTTCCCGAAATTTATCCCGAGGTGAATATGACAAATTTAAGGGAAACAATGAATGTTTCCCCCTACTGTTAGAGCAATAGATATTTTATTATACTGAAATAGACTCCATAGTAAAGATGACCAAGGGTCCGCGCCATTGTCCTTGTCTGCTACTGGGTATTCAGAAGTGGTGTCTTTTGCTCATTTCGCTCCATATAAGAGAAAATGACAGGGGTAACTCGGTATGCACAGCTTGAAGTTTGACGCCTAATGGGTATGCCGACGCTGTAACAGACGGCACGTTTGTGACTTTATTTGATTCCTTTTGTGTTTAAATGAGCAATCAATGTGGCATTATCACAAATGATGTGACTGATGTGTATTAGATTTTGATAATATTGCCCCATATATACATTGTACTGTTCTTTTGCGATATGGTAAGTAGTTACTCGTCTTCTATAAAAGGTCTATTACACGTAAGCCTGCCTAATCGGTATGTACAATGTATATGGGTCTGTTGGTGCTTATATCGAATTTCACAGTTTTGAATACTCGGCATTAAAGAAAGAAAGGTCGGTTTTTATGATCGTTGTCGTTCGTTATCAATCCATTGTATTCTGTTCTTTACCCGTCGGGATTTTCCGTTACAAAAACCTCAGGACATAAAGGTCATTCAAACTCTTGCTGCTTCTTACACCAGTGTGAGAGTCACTGGTACAATTTATTTTAAGTTGATATCAATTTCGCATAATCAGTTGAACTTTTCGTCAAATTTACAGAGCAAACTTGCCCATAGCGCTTGCGTGATATTGCTTTTCAAGCGAAGTTAAAGATCACTAGTAAAACCAGTTCTACAATTACAAGTTACAATTTCATGTAGAACTTCATTCTGAGGAGTGATCATTGACATCATAGTATTACTTTCTTATTTTCTGAATGAAGTGGACATTATGACATGTAAACAGTAATGTTTTTACTTTAGGACAACCACCTGATGCTGTCAATTTTTGGATGGGCGATGGCAGAGCTGTGACCTCAAGTAAATATGCTTAGCAGACATTCAACAAGGGCGTTAGTAGTTATAAGCATGCCAAATATACCCAGAGGGCGATAATGTGTTACAAGTATGCAAAAAACAACAACAACCCCATGAGTGGAGGGTGTGGTTCAAACATGTAAATTTCACATGTAAAACATCCCGTGAAGGCAAGGGTGTGGTTTCACATGTAAAGCATCCCCGTGAAGGCCAGGGTGTGGTTTCACATGTAAAGCATCCCGTGAAGGCCAGGTTGTTGTTTAAACATTTAAAAGTAACCCGTGAGGGCAGGGATGTGTTATAAGCATGTGAACTATACCGTGGGGGCTAAATGTGGTGCAGGTTTTCCAACCTTCCCATGGGGCCGTGAAAGTGTTGCAGGTTTTCCACCCATCCTGTGAAGGCGAAAAGGTTTGGTGCATAGTATCCATTCCATGTTGCTGAAGGAATGAGGTGTATTTTTAAATGGTAAATGATGGTTTGTAATACACTTTCACTTATTTCAGTAAATTGTGTTGTAAATCATCCTGATATGAAGCAGGTTCATTTCAATCCTTGCATTCAGATTAAAAACTGTAAAGAAAACTCGAGTTAACTTTCAAAGTGGTATCATTAGGTGAAGACTACATGTTTCTATTGAAGAAAGTCTTTAAGCAAATGGTGGTATTGCTTTTTAGCCCACCATCATCTGATGGTGGGCTATTCAAATCACCCTGCGTCCTTGGTCCGTGGTACGTCCGTTGTCCGTCGTCCGTCCGTAAACAATTCTTGTTATCGGTATTTCTCAAGAAGTGCCAGAGGGATCTTTCTCAAATTTTATATGCAGGTTCCCCTTGGTCCTCAGCTGTGCAGGGCAACTTTTGAGACTGACTGGATAAACAACATGGCCGACAGGCAGCCATCTTGGATTTTGATAATGAAAGTTTGTTATCGCTATTTCTCAAGAAGTACCAAAGGGATCTTTCTCAAATTTTATATGTAGGTTCCCCTTGGTCCTGAGCTGTGCAGGGCAACTTTTGAGACTGATCTTATAAACAACATGGCCGACAGGCAGCCATCTTGGATTTTGATTGTGAAAGTTTGTTATCGCTATTTCTCAAGAAGTACCAGAGGGATCTTTCTCAAATTTTATATGTAGGTTCCCCTTGGTCCTTAGCTGTGCAGGGCAACTTTTGAGACTGATCGGATAAACAACATGGCCGACAGGCAGCCATCTTGGATTTTGATAGTGAAAGTTTGTTATCGCTATTTCTCGGGAAGTACGGGAGGGATCTTTCTCAAATTTTAAATGTAGGTTCCCCTTGATCCCTCGTTGTGTATGTTATATTTTGAGACTGATCATAAAAACAAAATGGATTAAAAGAAGAACTAAACAGATCTTTCTCATATTGCAATGATCGATTCTATTTCTTTCACATTAAGTACTGTACTAGTAAATATGTGAAATGACAAACTCACTTTGAAGGTTGGCTTTCATACACATCAGTATTAAGTTTAGATAAAAAGTTACCTCAAGGTGCATTTACTGTTAACATGACTCGATCAAACAGATTAGAGGAAAGAAGAGAAAAGATCGAACTGACAAAGAACTAATGAAGATGATACAAAGGTGGGCGCCAAGATCCCTCTGGGATCTCTTGTTGTACTTGAACAAGGTTTTTATTCCTTGGTTACAATAGATTTGAAAACATTTAAGTGTAATAGAATTATTGATATGTTTGTGTGTTTATACCAACATTTAGAGTTCGTAAATTTATGTACAGGTTGCACAGAAGAATTCTATATTGATCTGAACCTTCCGTTTTAGGAGTATGTTGTAAGGACATGGTTATGGTGTGGACAAGCATACCAATCACCTCCTTAGTGTGAAAGTGTGTTATGATGATATCAACTATCACTGAAGCTTTGAGTACATAGCACGTATGCAATCATGTGAGAGCAATTGTGTAAAAAAACATGGCGGCCACCACGCTACAAAATACATATTCTTTGTGACAGATTTTGTGATAAAGATGGAAGGCATGCTTAAATAAATGTTGTTTTTATGGTTTGAACAGACATCAATCTGATTAAAACCAAAAAGGCGATCAAATTGTTATAAACTTGAACTCTGCAGTACAAAACATACAACTTAATAAATGTAGTCATGAAATATTTGTATGAACCTTAACATTAACTTGACGCTAGCTGATAGTTTTATATTTTGGTTTCCAGTGCACAGAGACCACTACGAAAACTTGTACTGTGTGGTAAGGGGATGGAAAAAGTTTATCCTCATACCCCCCACCGAACTCGCTCATGTCCCGTATGGTAAGACATTTAACAGCCTTTTTACTGTACAAATCTCGTTCGAATATCTTGACAAGACTGAAGTAATTGGTTAAATGAATGAAGTTTGCTAGCGTTCCTCTTTGTTTTGAGAAATTTTGAATTTTTGAGATGATGGGCATCTCCAATGCACTAAAGATTTCCCTGAGTAATCTATATCATAAGGTTTACATGATTATATTTTACGTTTTTTTACAGAATTATATCAAAGTGCTTATTATCGAGAGAAAGACAAAGGTGGATTTGAAATCGTGGACGATGAGGCAACAGGCAAGGTATTATTGTTTCTTATCCTTAGAGGTAGACCATACTCTAGAATTGTTTTGGTCGTTTACAATGACAGCTACATGTAAGTCGATACTTCTCATGCATTGAAAACTGATTTTGTTACGTTGTGGCCATAATTAAAATAATAACAGACTCCGTATGTGGTATAAATAAATATACAACATCTTATATAGCGCCCTATCTAGGTAACATAAGCCACTCTAAAGCGCTTTACAGTACATATGTTATACAATTTTATACAGTCAATACAATTAGCATGTATATTAATCAATACAATTTTGAGGAATTTGCAGAAGCTGCCTTATCAGACGCTAACTACTAGTCATATGCCACCTGGCTTATTTCTTACTATGTGTGTATGCCTGTGTGTGTGCTGGAGATGTATTGTGCTCTGTTTGTAGTGGGTCAATGCTTCCAACGGTATCATTTATAGTGCCACCTCACTTGAATGAAACAGCACAGATACCGCAACACCCACCCCAGACCAATTTATACTCCACCTGTGTTGTTGGATTTGTGTGGGCAGGAGAAAAACACTTTCTCTGAATATTCCATGCGTATGGCTACTTCGGGGGTCGAAACCCGGCCGACTGCTTGGAAGGCCGGAGTGTTAATCACTCGACCAATCCGCCCATAACATCTACATGTTTAATGCTTCATGGCTATGGTGCCTAATGCTACAGTTAGGGTACAGGGTCAGTATACACCTGTGTAATATCCATGATCAGGGATTTAGCTGATAAGCCTTGGCACTAGTACAGGTTAATTAACATACAGGCCTGTCTAACACAGATCTTATTACTGTCGTAATGGATAATGACTAGACAAAACAGATTTCAAAGTGACAACCAGGAACAGCTTCATTTGTCTATACTGTTGTACACTGTGTGTAGTCATTGTATTCTGATAGACAGTTGTATATGCTGATGTATTTATTATTGTGTACATCTCATTACATACTAGGTGCCCTGGGTGGCGATTGATCCCCTGAGTCCCGACCTTGATCGCTACCCCCAGTATCGACATACACGACCCCTGGAGGTGACAGTACATGCCGGTCAGACGCTGTACCTGCCCTCACTATGGTTTCACCATGTCAGCCAATCACACGACTGCATTGCAGGTATACTTTTTTCGATACAGTTTAGAACGCTTGTTTTTGATAGGTAAGTTGGTTATTTGGAAAACTCACCTTCAGATGGAAACAATAATGCCAAACTTGATCAACTTTTATGGAGGGCGTCGATAATTAATGATGAATCATACGGGTTTGTCGATTGCATTGCTTTTTCTTTTAGCGTATTGGTGTACAATATGCACATCATTTATCGACCTATCAACATTAACATGTTTGAAGGTAGTTTGTTGTCAATATATACTAGTGGCTATTCCATTTGCTCGTGCACTGACCTTTTGGAGAATACTCGATGGATATTTAACACAGTTACACAAGCCATACCTCTAAGCTGAGACGTTCTTGTATGTAATTTTAACGTCGCTGCAAGTTAGATAGAATCATTTTTTTTTCTATTTCCTACTTTTTCATTATTTGCATTTCGTTTAGTTCCGTCATTTTTCTTGGACTCTTTGTTTTTGACGTCGCACGTTGATTATATAAAAAAATCCAAGATTATTGCTAGGTCTATATTTCTTTTTCATGTCCTGGGATAACTCCAGGAATAAAATGTAATAAGGAAGGACGAGTGAAATTGTTTGAATTATACGATTAGTACTCGTCGTAAGGTGTGTCCACAAGACAATAGAAGTAGATATTAAGTTGGGCGCTGTTTGTTTCAGTGAACTTCTGGTACGACATGCAGTATGATATCAAGTATAACTACTACAAGTTCCTGGAGAGTGTAAGCAAGGTCGTGTCTGCAAAGAAGCAGTAATTCTATAAATTCATTCGAGAATGAATGCGAAACTGTGCTACAAAGAAACGATGATCATACAGGTTCCTGGTGAGTGAATATTTTGACCGAAAACAGCGACGCTACTAGATCCTGGGGAAAGTAAACAACATGGTGTCTGCAAAACAAAACAAAAAGAAAAAGAGCAATGATCCAGCAAATTCTAGGAGAGTGTGAACAATATTGTGTCTACAGAAACTCAGTTATCCCACAAGTGCTTAGAGATTGTGAGCGACATTGAGTCTGCATACAAACTGATCCAACAAGTTCCAGGAAAGAGTTACCAATACTGTATCCGTAAACAAACGGTCCTATATAAGAGTTACCAATACTGTATCCGAAAACAAACGGTCCTAAGACTTACCAATACGGTATCCGTAAACAAACGGTCCTATATAATAGTTATCAATACTGTATCCGTAAACAAACGGTCCTAAGAGTTCCCAATACTGTATCCGTAAACAAACCGTCCTAAGAGTTACCAATACTGTATCCGTAAACAAACGGTCCTAAGAGCTACCAATACTGTATCCGTAAACAACCGGTCCTATATAAGAGTTACCAATACTGTATCCGTAAACAAACGTTCCTAAGAGTTACCAATACTGTATCCGAAAACAAACGGTCCTAAGAGTTACCAATACTGTATCCGTAAACAAACGGTCCTGTATAAGAGTTACCAATTCTGTATCTGTCAACAAACAAACTCTCCAATAGTGTACAGAGTGTTACCAATACTAAGTCTATGAAGCCAACTATATATACTAGTATATAATCATATATATTTTGTAATATCCTGTATATATACTAGTATATACTCATATATATTATTGTAATATCCTGTATATATACTAGTATATAATCATATATATTATTGTAATATCCTGTATATATATACTAGTATATACTAGTATATATTATTGTAATATCCTGTATATATACTAGTATATAATCATATATATTATTGTTATATCCTGTATATATACCAGTATATAATCATATATATTATTGTAAGGTGTTGAGGCATATCCTGTATATATAAACAAACAAGTCTAGACATGGAATTAACTTATGCTTTTCTCTGGCGTTTATATTATAACCCTACAACAGATGCATTTATTCGCGCCGAAGCATGTCTAACAACTGCTAACATATAAACTGTAATATCTGTCATTCCTTACGATACGCAGTAAATATACGCTAGTGAGAATATTACTAACATGTATAATATTATAATAAACTGATTGATTGAGTTTATTATATGGTAATCATGATAAAAGTTCAGATCATGTTAGTAGTATTAATGCGATCAAACATGCCGTATACGCTTTATTGTGATATGAACTGCATTATAACATACGTGTTGTTAGCAATTGTAGTGGACCTTAGGGTCTGTTTAATTGAAATAAATAAATGTTTTTAAAATAAATGATCAAAACAATTGAACGTCTTCTATGGATTGTTCACAATACACCGGATACATTTTGCTACACTGAAGGTTATACTCTCACATCGGACATCGTGAGTAAAACACCTTAGTAAGAAATTACCTGTATCAACTCTTCATTTGTCGAGTATTTTAATGTTAGTATATACATAGATACAAACGGCGATCACTTCAATTGACGTCGATACACAGATCCTTTTGTCATCCTTATGAATTACAAAGATGGGATGAGAATACCCAAAAAGGAACACTTTTAATATATATGATGCAGCATTTTTTTTATTTTGCAATAAAAATAAATGGTTTGTATTCTAAATCAAGATTTTTTTTTATTTGCATTTCGAGAAAATTTCATCTGCCTACCTCATGGACATTGCTCATAAACTTAATTGAAATATCATAAAAATGAAATGAAATTTATTTCCCGAAAAGCGATACATATATCCTATCATATTTCTTAACATGAAAAGCAATATGTTCAAACAAATATTGTAAGGAATAAATGACATAACCTGTTAGGAATTGTCAACACGATTTTGAAGTGAAGAAATTGATTTAAAATGATGTCAGTTATTTTCATAAACTGACATATATCTTAAAGCGTTCCATTTCGGGTACTCTACCAGCTTAACATTCCAAGTGAATCTAACTCACTTCAATGAGCTCTATAAATAGACGCACGTGCTGTTGATACCCAAGAATAAAATATATGAATTAAGGGCTTAAGGGATGAATTGCTTAATTACTGCCAAAAATAAATAAAAAAGGTCTTTCAGAAACTCAAAAGGAAAATTAATAGGTTTCTTTTAAAAGTGTTCCATTTTGAATACGCTCACCATATACCCTTCATTTACTATACATAACACAGATACACAAATTATATATTTGAATAACAAAGATTCAAACATCTATTACTTCAAAAATGAAGATACACTCACGCCCAGTTCTTTAAAAGGAAAAGACAGTTACGTAAGTACTATAAAATGTAGTATGTGCAGTGAACCTTATTGTTTTACCTGTTTTTACGGTTTCCTTTTACTATGCAAAGGAAGATGAAAGAGTAAACATGTATTAGAATCATTGGAGTAAAACTATCAAAAGAATTTAATATCCTAGGTATTTGAACTGTGCTATTGGATTTGATTATTCTATTTTTCGTATTTTATTGTTTTGGCTTAATAATACTTGTAAAATGTATTACAAAGAAAATCATTTAGTAATTAGCGATTATCTTCGCCACGTATGGCCAAATGGTCAGGAAATTGATCTACTTAAGTAGGTGTATATTGTGAAGTACAACACATTTTCATTCACCCTTGTTTATATTCCTCCAGTAGTCTTTGAGACCAGTGGTCGATTACTGCCAGTACAACTTTCATAACAATAACGCGTATTTATGAACAGTTTGGAGTTGATCATGATCCAAACTTTGTCATTTGGTTCTTTATTGCTATCTCATTGCTGAAATCCAATATCTGTTTCAACTCTCTGGGGAGCATACAGACGGTGATGCCAACTAGGCGCTCACAGCTAGCATTTAACAACTCTAGCACTGCCCAACCACGTACTCATTTACAGCTGAGTAGACTGGGACAAGTGGAGTAAAGTACCATGTTCAAAGATACAACACAGTGCCGTGCAACCTGCAACCCTTCGGTCACGAGCCCGGCGTCCTATCACTAGACTACCGTGCCTCCTAAACATTTGGAATACTCTAATAATATTTATATTGCTAAGGGTAATTCGAGAATCAATGCAGCATTTATGTACAAACATGGAAATTAAGAATGAAATATACAAAAGTGCAACCAACAAACATTATCACACCTTTCAAACCTTATAACGTAACAAGAGGCACAGAGGGCCTGTATCGCTCACCTGTTTCCTTTGTTACATGAAACTGACATATATGTAACTTCAGACCAAATTTGGTAAATAGAACATAGGACATTTTAATATCTCTTAAACGCTTCTCAAGATGTTGTTGTTTAAAATTTAAAATTGTAATTTCAAAGCTTTTATCTCACGTTGACCTTTGTTCCCTGACTTGCACTTAGAGTTGACATTTGACCTCGTTACTGTAATTAAGAAACTATTCGCACTGCTGGTCCACATAACATACCCAAATATCATGACTCTAGACCAAATGCGTGTTAGGATATCGTCGTTTGAAGTTTTTTTTAAACATTTTTGACCCCTTTGACCTTGAAAGTAGTTCAAGGTCATTTCAAAGAGGAAACTTTATAGCACTATATCCCTGGTACCTACTGGCCAAATATCATGACCCTGGGCCTTATGTAACTTGAGAAGTAGATTGTTAAAGCTTTTAACCCATGTTCACTTTTGGCCCCAAACTAGCACTTAAAGTTGATCTTAAACCTCATTATTGTGAATTAGAAAATTATTTGCACTGCTGGTCTATATGATATAGCAAAGTATCATGACTCTTGTCCTAATGGTTCTTAGGATATTGTTGTTTGAAGTTTTTAACACATTTGACCCCTGTGACCTTGAAAGTAGGTCTAGGTGATTTTAATAATGCAACTTTATAGAACTCCATCCCATGTACCTACTGGCCAAATATCATTATCCTAGGTCCTCCAGCTCTTCAGAAGAAGTCGTTTAAAAGAAAAAGTTGACGGACGAACGACGGACGACGGACGCCGCAGCATGGCATAAGCTTCGGGCCAGGTTAGCTAAAAATAGAAAGGGAACTAATGGAAGAAAACGCTTCAAAAGCCACTACAGAACTAAAATGGAATAACACAACACCTTCGACATCAGAACATTTGAGACAATGATAAGAATAAACTTTTTTTATGGAGTGAAGGGGATCGAGGGGAGAATACAAAATGAAATACTTGTGAATAATATAAAAAAAGAAAAAGAATAAAATTATTTAGATACTACAAAAGATACAAACCTCCTACAGTTTCAGTACAGACTGCAACATAGGTTACACATACTGCCAACTAGTTCGTGTATAAATACATTTGTAAAATAGCAACGAGTCTATTTTTTTGAACTACGAAATGTCAAATTCAAGTTTGCACCACATTCAACCATTGGTAATAGAAACATCAGAAACAAACAGTAAATTTTCTAACTTTAATTCAACAATATTAAAACAAAAAATGTAGAGAAAATTCCACTGATATTGTTCTACAGCGTACATGTATGTTAATCCCGTTATGGCTGTATATGACAAAGTTCAACGCAAGTAATGAAGTTAAATAGGGAACATGATTTGTAACATTCGTATATGGACAGGAACGTGATCATATTAATTTGAAGTTTCCGCTTTCGCTGAACAGACAGTGATAAGTTCGACCTTCCTGTTGACAAGTAAGTGTACGTAGACACCCTAAACAGGTATATAAGACAGACTAGCCCGGTCCTGCACACAGACCCGAGTTCCAGTGAAGCTGTCAGATCCTGAGAAGATACACTTGCTGTTCACATCGGTATGTAAATCTGTTCATTTGCAGACTTTATTTTCACTTTCCGCAGTGACTTCCCTACAGACATTCTGAAATGTAGGAACTTTACGATGTACTGGGGTAACTGTCCGGACCTGCTGGCAGTTCTTCAATGTTACTTCAAATGTTTTTCTTTAATTCCTTGCAGCCGTATAGAAACGTAAACACTGATCATTTTAAAAGGGAAATTTTGTTAAGATTTATGCAAAATTCACATTAATGCATAACGTGTCCTAATTGACTGATTCGTTGAACCTTTTTATAGCCTAGTTTTACCTAAGTATAGTTATATATGACTGGTGGGTTTTCTTATAAAATCGACTCAGTGCACATTGACCTGTCACCAAATCATCAAGGTGGGTTAATACTCACCAAGATTTGAAAAACAAAATGTTCGTTTTTGAATATGGGAGACCAAAATCACAAATGGACGCTTTTTTTTTTACAAAACTACATGTTATGGTTTTAAGGTTCTTCATCATTTTGGTATAATGCGTAAAACTAAAGCAGCAATGGTTGTATTGTCCCAACTTAGGAAGTGTGCTGTATAAAAAGAGACAGTGGCGTGGTTAGAACCTTGACTTCATAAGTAAAACTAAACATAAAATGAATTTTGTGGAGATCAATGATAGCAAATGTACAATTTAATTTTTAATTTATGGAAAAGTCAGGGTGAATATTGATATATACTTACTTAGGCTCCGCGTTGAAGGCCGTACTGTAACCTATAATTGCTTACATCAACGATTATAATTTTGGTCTTAGATGGAGAGTTGTATCATTGGCAATTAAACCACATCTTCTTTTTTATATTTATAATGCAAGTGAAGTTCTTTGAAACTTATTTTAATAGTTTGGAATACTCGTCAGCTATCGAAAAGTGAGATACGACCCACGTAGTCCGAGTTCGGGTTTTTCTTCGATTTTCCTTGTCATGACTCATCAATCAAAAACAAATCCTGTTTGCTAAGTAGTATTGAGTGCTAAATACCCAACATCTGAATCTAAATCGAGATTTCTGAGAACTGCTAATAATTTGGGAGAATTTGTATATCTCAGAATTAAATCACGTGATATACTTATGTATATATGTATAGTGAAGTCAAGATAAGATACATCAAACAAAATCTCTCACTACTAATTAGGTAACGGTCAAACTACTCTATGCATTGTTCACATAGAAGTCTAAGATTTATTTTGTCTCAAGATTTTTTTGCCTCTTTGCTTACTGGTAAATTTTATTTTAATATATAGTTTTCTATGTTGTGTTATGTCGATTGCTGTTTATCTTTTCGTTGTTTTTTAAATTTTTTGCCATGGCTTTGTCAGTTTGTTTTCCACATTTGAGTTTGATTGTCCCTTTGGTATCTTTCGACTCTCTTTTAACCTTTTTTCTTTTTTCTTTTTTTTTTTATTGGCTTGCATAATTGCAAGATTAAGGTGCGTATATTCACTTGCTGTGAAGTGCAAGGACGTTCTTATTGAAGATTTCACGGTGAACATCTCCAATAAACAGGAGATGGTAGCTTTATGGTTTTCAATGAAGATTGTATGATTGTGTTCAATCTTTCATTTTCCTGAACCTTTATATTGTTTTACATTTCAACTTCTAGATATTGAAACGTTTTGGTTATTAGCATCACTTAATAAGATACAAATAGTTCTGGTTTCGACCTTTCAACTATCAAAAGGAAGTTTTTTTTTTAATCGGGCAAATAATTGGTTTGTTCGTGATAGGTATATGCATCAAGATTTAATGTGGTGTATTTGTTTTAACTGTTCAATTCCGACACTGTCAGCTGTCATTATCTTCTCTTGTTCAAATTAACGCCAGTGATGGAAAGTCAGAAAAAACAAAATACTATGAATACATTTATTTTTGACATACAAAAGACCATAAATTTTCAAAATTGTATTGTTTAAAGGTAAAATCTCGAAATTCGAAATGTGCTTGTCCCTGAACCTTAAGTTATTTAACAATACATTTATTTTATATATCCGGAGCTTGATCCTTATATAATTGACAAATCGTCTATTTCCAAAATCGTGACATGGTGTAAAGCGCGCATGTATATTTGTCTAAATGACTAATTTCAAGCAAAAGTACCCAAATGTTAGGGAATGTTCAGTATTTCGTAAATTTTACATATATAAGAATTGTGATCACGTGGACCTCCTAAAACATAGGGAGGTGGGACCGGGGGCTCCGGAAGAGTAAGCATATACTGCCCGAATGCAACACACGCCACGTGTGTTTACAATTTTTAGTCTCCTCTGAATACTAGTCGGAGTTCTTTTAGCTGTCAGGCCAATGTAGCATAATGGTTTCTTCCCTAAACCTTTTACATATTTTCCATATTTCAGTTTTCTGTTGTCTTTTTGTTAATGTATGTATCCATTTGTTATGGACCTTGGGTTTGTAAACATTTGTCGGGATACTGTGTAGTAAAAGAAGGACCATGTACTACAGTATTATACTTTTAAGGGTCATGTTATGAGATGTCGCCTTTTTGAACCCCCTCTGTTTAGAATGTACAATAATAACGACACGAATTTATAAAAAAAAAATAAAAAAAAATGCTGGCACTACCTGCATAATGCAATAATGGATACAAATACATGTATATTAATATATCATTGTTCCCGTTTTAAATAAAAGAGCCTGAATTTTTCTACGTGTTATAAACTAACTAACTAGGTATGGTTCCTCATTGTTATATAACTTATTTAGGTCACACTTATTATATCTGGATAAACGTTGATTGCGACTTATTGTCTATGATCTAAAGAATTGTCTATGAACCCTGACATATCTAAGATTTCACTTATTTTTTTTTACCAAAACTGGATTCATATACTTAAATATGCGAGGCCTATCAGATAATGTGTAGGTAGTGCGAGCAATATCTTTTGATAATCTTTATAGAACTACATACCACAAAGAAGAGGGTCCAAGAAGGCGACATCTCATAGCATGAACCTTAATGTATATTATCTGATGCTTCTAGTTATGGGCAGTTTGTGACCCGGTAAACCGGTTTAACTATACCATTCAACTTCATCTTGTACGTCTGTAGTCATGTCATGTAAGCTACAGTCATCATGGTGTTGTTGTGTTATAGAGGATGGAGCAAGTAAAACTGTTCCCCGTGTAAAATTATTATTCAATAGTTTTCATAATGAAGTCTACATTAAAAACTTTATCATCAGGTTGTACATTTATTCGCCCCATCAGGTTGTACATCTATTCGCCCCATTATGTTGTACATTTTACATGTTCCTACACCACCATTGGTGGCGTACTACTTCATCTCGAAGCGTTTCTCTCTTGCCAGCAGTTTATTATACGGAGGTGTTCAGAAAAGCTTATGGATATGTATAATAATTATTATATTTTTTTTCGCATACAATTCTACTCAACTTGCAAGACTAGGGGCGTCTAGTCGCTTGCCGTGGAATGCATATAGATTTCACGACGACCGACTAGATAAACATCTCCGATAAAAACCGGAGATGGTAAGTTTTTGGTATTCCATGTAGATATTATTGTTTTCACCTGTTCTTCATTTTTCTGAACCTTTCAATTTATACTTGTACATTACACTTGGTCCTATACAATGCGTTTACGGCATTACTTTTTCATGAATGAAGTATTGTAGCTGAAACGAGGACCTGTAAACAAAAGGTAACCACAGCACACATTTTCCCACCCAGCAAAATAAAACAACAACACTAGACGAAATCCACGTACAAACGTATATGAGACCAATAGCTGTATTGTCCCGACTTTGGACAGTCGATGTATAAAAAAGACACAACGGTGTAGTTAGAACCTGGTTTAAAGGCATGCCAAACCATCCCACTTAAATACAACTGGTGGTCCCAAAGACGCACTTTTAAAATTTGAAATAATTCTGATATAACTAAACATTATTCCAACAACAACCACATAAAGTCACATTAAAATTTAAAACACTAGAATTAAGTTTGGAAAACCTCGCATTTGTAAGACATTTACTCAAAGTATATAATATGTTAAAACTTTCATGCGAAATAGTTTCCTTTCTGTATTAAATCAGTAAAACAATACTGATGGTTGATTTTGTTAAAAAAGGTTTAGCTATAAAAGCTAAAATGTGACCACTGTTCCAGTGTGAGAATATTACAATAACATGAGTGTCTAAAAATACGGTTGTATTATATTGACTATCTAATACTAGAAAACCATTAAGATTAAAGGATGCAACATTTCTGTCATACCTGCAGTTGATAATAAGGATGTGTTCAGGAATGCTTCATGATATCTATTATTATAGTTTTTTGTGATTATATTTTGCTTATAATTCTGCTTAACTTGTAAGTCTAAGAGGCATCGTTTACTCGCTTGTTTTGGAATACGCTAGTTGAAGATTTAATGATGACCGATTATATGAATATTTCTAATCTTTCATTTTTCAGAACATTTCTATCTCATTACTTATCCTTTTCATTAGTTGTATGTATGTACTACTACTGACAATTCTAACCCTCACATATGCCATTATATTTACTTTAGTAAAAATCCTATTGAGAACCTTTAATAAACTGACAAAATGTTTTTTTTTTATATATTTGCAGTGAAGAATGGGCAGTATTGACTCAATACCTGTAATTTCACAGATAAAAAGTCTTGTTCAGGTAATATCCGGTGACGAGGAGGGCGCCTTAAGGACCCAGCAAAATTTTGCAGATACAGGGATAATTGCTTCACAGGTGCAATCATTGATACACGCCATCAATGGCGATACAAAAGCAGCGGAAGAAACACAGAAAAAATTTGGTAAATCTCTGGAAAGTCTTGTCGACAGTGTTCCTGTGATTGGCCACATTAAAGGCGCGGTACATTACGGACTAGGAGACACTAAAAGGGGAGATCAAATCATGAAGTCGTCGTCCGGATCTTTGATAACAGGGGTAGCTGGCATAGCTGGTACACTAGTCGGTGGTCCAGCAGGAGGGGCTGCTGCTGCAGTTGCAGCGTCACAGCTTTACGATGGAGTCGTTACTGGGATAGACACTGCCGTGAATGGAAAAACTAAAGATGGATCACCTCGATACTACGGTATTTGGCAAACAGTTGACGATATAGAAAAAGGAAAAGCTAAATCTGGAGATATTTTTGACGCGTATGCTGGAATAGGAATGGATGCCCTGGGTGGCGCTACAATTGGAAAAGTGGGCGGTGGAGTGAAAGGTTTCGCAAAAGCTGTGGGGAAAGATGTACGAAATAGCCTACCCGGATTGGATACAATTACAAAAGCCGGAAAGAATATCTTTAGTAAGAATCGAAAGAGTATCTGCCGTGGCAAACGAGATGTAGAATCCCATCTTACCATAAATGAAGTAGACTTTGCAACAGGTCATCAGAGACTTCCGGAAAGTTTTAGTGAGGTTTTAAGGAAAGACTGGCAAAACATGGGTGTCAATGACACAGTATCAAATTTGGTCTCCATGTTTATTATTCTACGATTGGTAATGTGGAACGACAAGCGCGGAAGGTCTTACAGCTCAGAACTTTGTTCAATGACGTCATCTGGCTTTGATGAAATTACAACATGTCAAATAGCATTAGCAAACACAATTAGGGAAATGGAAAATCGTTTAACATCCGACAACGGCGGAAACGTTTCTTACATACTGCACCCAAATGTTACCTTTACAACTAAGATGTCAAGCAACACATCCGTGGTGATGATAAAAAGCATGACAACTCTATACGGAATACTGAGCAATATGGCAACTGGACGAAAGATGGGCATTACATGGACATACGAACTTTGTCTATACGAAGACCTTAACAACTTCAAACTCTGCGAAAAAGAAGTTCTATCGAAACTTGCGGAATTAGGTGGTAAAGCCTTCCTGTTGGGCGAACATCGTAAACTAAGGATACGAAGAGGCGGGGGATGCAGAAAAACATCAGATGTGACTTCTGGGAGTCATCGGGATGTTAAAAAGTCAAATAAGAAGATAAACAAAGTCTTAAAGAAAGATGAGGTAAACAAAAAGGCAAAGATCCCCGGGGAACTTCAGTCAAATCACATTCCAGCGCAATCAGCATTTAAGAAGACATATCCAAATATACACCCTGATGATTTAATAGCACATAGACTGAACTATGAAGTTCATGGAATAGCCATGAGCCAAGTTGGAACTAGCGGATCCAGAAAAATATCCAAAAAACTGCGAGCAGTCGAGGAACATTTTATTCAAAACAAACAATTAGCGGATGCCATAAAAGTTGATTTGATTGCTAGTTACGGACGAGCTAATGTTAGGCATGCCACAGACGGGTTCCGTTCCGCTTTAATTGAAAACGCTGCCGATATGCGTAAGGTTATAGACCTCTGGGAAGAAGGGGTTCCTAACGGGGGAAAGCCACCACTACGTATTTCTAAAAAAGAGGCACAATCATTACGTACATTTCTAGATAATGAAATACAAGTATATAACAATTATCCGAACCATCAAGGCAGTCTTGCACCAGCTAATTGGGACAAATGGCTTGATCGAATGGAAATAGCGTACGAAGGTTTGGTGGACAAAACTCAATCCCTAGGCAAAGATAACATCAAAGTTGAACAAGACAGGCGAAATTTCGGTTGAAATTCATAAATGTTCAGTGTCGTACAACTTTGTATATACAATAATACTCATTATTTTTTACGTTATACCTGCTCTTGCTTTTCACCTAAATGCCACACTATAATAAAATTACTGTAAAATCATAAATATTCGAGTGGGATTAAATTTCGCTCTTTTCTTGGGTCAACGAAATCCACCAAATTAAATCTTATTGATTTTTTTTTATTTTATTTACATATACTTATGTTGGATGGGACACTTTTCCACGATATATTATGCATACCAATTACTATTTAGTGTAAAAACTACGAAATTTTAACCCCATCAAATTAAACGATTATACAGTATGAAAAAGTCGTACGCGGTGGTTTTAACAAGTTTAACTATTAAGCTTATTGAATAAAAAACAAAAAAAGGAAATTGAATAATTAAATAACTTGAGTTAAATACGACTCTTAGTTGTTTTTGTTATAAAACAGCTACAGTATAAATTGATTTTCATCGGATGCTTATAAAAATCAGTTAAAAAAGAAATGTATTGAACCTCTGCTGGATTTGCTATGCTATCTAAGGATAAATTATGTGTATCCAACATGATATCAGAAATAATCTTGAAACTTCCTTTATTTCACGTCAATGTCAGAAATGATACTGAATTATGCTTAAACATATCTTACCACCTGGTAAATACTCTAGGAAATAAAACAAATTGTGTGTGTGTTTAAAATGGCACAACGTGTTAGCAATGTATCCAATTCCATATAAATGTGCATAAGTATGTGGAAAGAAATAACTTCCGCATTCATTTTTTTTTTTATTAAATTTGAGCCACTAATTAGGAAAAAGTACAACCCAATTATAAAATACTCATGCAAAAGTTGCCTTTAATTAAACATGGTATTATGAATCTTTGTGTCCTGTTTGTTTTTAGCTTGTAGATGATTACTTTTATCCGTACAAAATCAATAAAAAACACTTTGTGTAACGTGTGTTATATATTTTGCGATAAATACAATATTCATAGGGTTAATTAGCAATAATTTAATTTTGCCTATCTCCCCCATAATATTGTTTTTGGTATATATCGTATATACCTAAAAAGAAAAACAACTGATGACGGAACTACTTTTTACCTTTCAGAATGCAAAATTACAACGCAGTATATTTTAGCGCAATTGTTTAGTTTACATAAAAATTAAATAAATCTTTAATGTGCATTAACAACGTGTTTGTCTATTTTTTAAAATTAAATTATAAAGAATGCCCAAGATTTTGTTTTGGTATATACGGTATATACCGACACAAAATTGTGCACTTTTTTGCATAAACCGCTTCGCGGATTTATGCAAAGTGCACATTTTTTCCCCGTTACATACCGTATATACCAAAACAAAAACTTGGTCATTCCTTAAATGCTTCTTTTCATTTTTTTGTTGTTGTTATAGTTCCGAACAATGCCACACAAAAAAATAAACGGAAAATATCAAAATTGACGAAAATTCATTTTTTTGTGTATTTTTTTTTCCAAAAAATTCCCCAAACTATCGGAATGCTTAGATTTTCATAAAATCAACTCTACATAGTTACATAACCATTTTGTGAAAGTTTCAACGAATTTTGCTGGTTAATTGCGAAAGTGTGGAACCACCTTTATACAACACCAGCAATACATGCTTTAGCCTATCAGATATTTATGTTTCAATCAGTAAAACAACAACAGTTCATGCCACATTTCTTTCCAAAACATGAAACCATGAATCTCAAGCTACAATTGCACATGCAAGTATCTTAATAAACGTTAGACTCTGCTAATAACATTCCGATATAGAGATAAGCTTGTTGTGTCCTACTGGTGTACAACTTGTCGAAAAAATCATTGCCAAGTGGATCTTTTTAACAGTGTTATTTGAAGACAGTCTGGCCACATATGCGGAAATATCGAGAGATATTAAGTTTTAGTATATAAACGCTGTTCAAACGGCATACACTAGATGACAATCGCGCCTACCTCTAGACGCGGTGAAGCGACGTTGACGGGTGGTAATTTAGAGATAAATTCCAGCTACATTTGAAAATATCTTCATATCTGAACGACAGGTATGCATCATTGATATACAGCGGTATAAACGAGGACATTAAAAAAATCACTAATCCCGTCAGGTGTTTAATGGGTGTTGGGAACGTCGGTACCGTCATCATATACAACCATGGAAAACCGTGTTAAAAGTCAACCAATGTAATAACGTATATGGGTATCGACCAAGGTTTACATTGGTCGCTACTGACCTCAATCACTTAAGATTTATGAAGGACAAACAAGCATGCAGTTACATATGTAGTCCCATGTACTGAATGATCGATGGAATCTGATTAATATTAAAGCGAGGCACCCTTGAGAAGCTGACCTTCTTATAGCATTTAAGACCATTTAAGGTAAATTTGTTAAATTTAATGAATTAAGAAATGGTTCAGAGAGTTGAGTGGGATGGTGGAGAAGAAGTAAGGTTAGAACCATTGAAACAAGAAACCTGGTAAAAAATAATCAATTAAATTCACCCGCGCTCAGAAGGTACCGGAAACAAACATCTAAGCAAGATTGATGGCGGAAAAGACGGAAAAAAAGAAACAGGAATGAGTTAGTGAAAGAACAGAAGTAAAGGTGGACTTTTGATAAATTGAGTGACAGTTGTTTATACATGGTCCTGGAGGCTGGATGTCTGCTTTCCTACACTAATCACTGCCCACTTAGGTACATATAAATCTATATGCTTCTGAAGAAGCTTTAAGATTCGAACTTGTGATAAATAGTAACAACCCGATCACACCTGTTGTGTTTGTTAATGTAGAACCCGATCACATCTGTTATGTGTATAAATGTAGAACACAAAAAACCCACCCATTGATTGTCCATGATAATCCTTACTGATAAGACCCGTTATTACAGCACACCGATGAACGATTTGGAGCAGGTCCATGTATTCCCCTCAGGGACACAATATGAATACGCTGTACAGTGGTTTTCTCAACCGTTATTGTGTCTGTCGTCATTCAAGGAACCTGTCTTGAACATTATCATTGGAACTTCTCAGTATAAATAAGCAAATCAAATTAAATCTACAATGCAAACATAACAGGTCATCACGATTTGGCGGTAAATACAGGCCGTGGCCACTGATAAAAAGTTCGCATTGCAACAGCTGTATACAAGCTAGTCATGATGACGATTCTAAGTGTATTTGTGTCAAATCACAAGAGAATACTTATACGTTATTACTATAATAACCAGTCAGATCAGATCATCGTCAATCACACGTTCGTTTTGTGAATAAACGTAATCATGACGATATGCAACGGATTTTCTGTTGTATTTGCCGAATCGTACTCAAAATGAAATTGACTGCTTGGAAGGTACAATGATTCAACTGAAAGCAAATATATACCACAACATCATCATAAAGGGACTAATAGAATCTTTCACCCTCTTGGGGGTGAGATAGGAGAATCATATACACAATGTAACGATAATGTTACATGCTAAATTCAGGGTTGACGTGACGTTGATGGATTGTTGACGTGACGTCATTGTATTGTTGAAGTGACGTCATGCCATTGTTATGAAAAGGGGAATCCCCCCGTCTCAACCCTAGGGTGAGACAAGGAATTCTCACACCGGTAAAAGTGCGGATACACCTGTCCAGGGTAAGAGAAGAAAAAATACTATATTGTCAAACAAAACGGGTAAAATATCTCACAGCGCGTATACAAACGGAACGAAAGATACGATAGCAGCAACACAAAAAGGTAAAATAAACGAAATAATCAACAATTAATACCGCAATGTGAGGACAAATGAACAAACTGTACTATAACGTTTGTATACCATAGTGCCAGCACAAACGATCATGCTATACCAAAACGTCAACAAACGGACACAGTATGCCATAGTGCCAGCACAAACAATCATGCTATACCAAAACGTCAACAAACGGACACAATATGCCATAGTGCCAGCACAAACGATCATGCTATACCAAAACGTCAACAAACGAACACAATATGCCATAGTGTTAGTACAAACGGACAAAATTGGAAACAAATGTGGTATCAGAAGGCAAAACAACGTGAGTAAGATACACATAACATAATTGAAAAGACACATTGAGCCTATGATGACGTTATTTATGTCACATCTTTGACTAGCGGGTAAATATATATCTTGGGGCTAATTCAAAACAATTATCATACTAGAAATGCAAAAAAAAAAAAAAATGAATAAAATCATGTTCGCAGATGCAGAAAGCCGACTAAAGTAAACATAGTACTGCGTTATATGACCATTTTGTTCAAAAAGGACGCATCAGTGCTACTAGAGATCACAATTATGAACAACAAAGGAAAGTTTGCATCAATATATTTCGAATCGTATGTATATAAGGGCAAAAAGAGAGAGGTGCCTACTCAACCCTTTAATATGTTACACATTTACAAATCTGGGAACAATAATTAAAATATACTTTAAGTGGTATTTCACGTAAACTGTGCTAGAACAAATTTTAGCTAACGGCCAACCTTGGGCCTCCTAGACCACCAGCAGAGGCACACAATGTGTCACGTAAAACAATCACTAGATCACGAGCAGTGTCATCCACTGTGTTACGTAAAACAACTACTAGACCTTCAGCGGAGTCACCCACTGTGTCACGTAAAACAATCACTAGACCATCAGCAAATTCACCAATATTGTCACGTAAAACACTCACTAGACCACCAGCAGGGTCACCCACTGTTTACGTAAGACAATCACAGCATAGTCATCCACTGTGTCACGAAAAACAATCAATAGACCACTTGCAGAGTCATCCACTGTGTCACATAAAACAATCACTAGACCACTTGCAGAGTCACCCACTGTGTCACGTAAAACAATTAATAGACCACTTGCAGAGTCATCAACTGTGTCACATAAAACAATCAATAGACCACTTGCAGAGTCATCCACTGTGTCACATAAAACAATCACTAGACCACTTGCAGAGTCACCCACTGTGTCACGTAAAACAATCAATAGACCACTTGCAGAGTCATCAACTGTGTCACATAAAACAATCAATAGACCACTTGCAGAGTCACCCACTGTGTCACGTAAAACAATCACTAGATCACAAGCAGAGTCATCCACAGTGTCACGTAAAACAATCACTAGACGACCAGCAGAGTTACCCACTCTGTCACGTAAAACAATCACTAGACAACCAGCAGAGTCACCCAATGTGTCGCGTAAAACAATCACTAGAACATCAGCAGAGTCATCCACTGGGTCACGTAAAAAATCACTAGACCAACTGCAGAGTCACCCACAGTGTCACGTAAAACAATCACTAGACCTTCAGCCGAGTCACCGTCTGTGTCACGTAAACAATCACTAGACAATCAGCAAATTCACCAATATTGTCACGTAAAACAATCACTTGACCACCAGACGGCCAGCAGTGTCCCAAACTGTGTCAAGTAAAACAATCACTAGACCACTTGCAGAGTCACCCACTGTGTCACGTAAAACATTCACTAGACCACAAGCAGAGTCGCCGACTGTGTCACGTAAAACAATCTCTAGACCAACAGCAGAGTCATCCACTGTGTCACTAAAACAATCTCTAGACCACCAGCAAAGTCACTAACAGTGTCACGTAAAACAATCACTAGACCACCAGCAGAGTCACCCACTGTGTCACTTAAAACAATCACTAGACCACCAGGAGTGTCACCCACTGTGTCACGTAAAACAATCACTAGATCATCAGCAAAGTAACCAATATTGCCACGTAAAACAATTACTAGACCACCTGCAGAGTCACCCAAAATGTCATGTAAAACAATCACTAGACCACCAGCAGAGTCATCTA